GGTCAAGGGGCAGTGGGTCAGGCCCTATGAAGAGAGGCTAAAAAGGGCCTGAACCTATTCAGCCTCCACGAGAAGGCTGAGAGGGGATCTGGTGACCATTTACAAACTCGGTAGGGGGGGGGACCAGCAAGAATTGGGGGACACTGTTCCCCCGGGCACTACCCAGGGTTACTAGGAATAACAGCCACAAATTGTTAGAGAAGAGGTTCAGGCTGGACACCAGGAGACAGTTCTTTAGAGTTAGGGCTGCCAGGCTCTGAAATGGGCTCCCAAGTGAGGTGGTACTCTCTCTTACCTTTGGGGTCTTCAACAGGAAGCTAGACAGATATTTGGCTGGGGTGATATGACCCTGGCACACGTTCCTGCCTGGGGCATGGAGTGGGACCTGATGATCTGTTCAGGTCCCTTCCAACCCTAAGCACTAGGATACTACAGGTTTAAAAAGGAAAGAAAGACATTTTTCCCCACTTACCAACACTGGCCTTCAGAAACTTATTTCCAATCCTTTGGTCCATTCCAATGGCTCTTGCTACTTCTTCAACATCTGCTCCTGTAGCTTCACACAAAGCACTGATTGAGTTAATGCTGCTGATTCTCTGGGCAAGGAAAGCATTAGCTGCCTGTAAATAAAGAAGATGTACCGATAACCTTTCATTGGCCTACAGACAAAAGAAAGGACTAGTTTAGTGTCTCTAATATTTGTTGATTGGATATTACCACCTTTTCACATGTGCATGCATGCACGCACATGTAATCAATTCCTTTTTGGGTAATCTTCTGTTACATAAAGACTCATTGAGTTGTAAGCAAAACAGACACCATGAGATATTTTAATGTTTAACTAGTGTTTTGGATTCCTTACATTATAAATGCTGATATTTTGTGTTTGACTATTCTGAGTGACACTAACTAGTTTAGAAAGCTCTGATGACCAGGTGTTGGTTGTGATGATTTTCTCCTTGGGCACCCAATGCTCATATACAGCACATAGAGCATGGACTGCTTTCTGTCCTTCTTCAGTCTCATCTCCACCAATCAGCACTCTATCTGGATTCTTGAGGTCCCGTATAGCTGTTCCTTCTGCTAGGAATTCTGGGTTGGACAATACCTGCAAAAAGAAGAAAATCCAGTTCCAAGTAAAATACAACAGACGTACAGAATGGATGAAAACTAAAATCAGTCCACAAGTTCTGACTTGTATTTTTACCTGCAAATTCAAATTTGGTTTTGTATTGGCATCAAATATCCGACGAATACTCTCTGCTGCACGTACTGGGACTGTGCTTTTCTCAGTGACAATTTTATAACCATTTGAGTGCTGTACAATCCGTCTAGCACATGCTTCAATGTACTTCAGGTCAGCTGCCCGACCTTTTCCCATTCCATAAGTCTTTGTTGGAGTATTAACCTAGACAGAAATAGATGGGAAAGGGGAGGAAAGAAAATAAAAACCAGCAGAATAAGTTCTTAAGACCTGTGAACTCCTGAATAAATGAGATTGCTTCCCAAAAGTAAGCAAAACTTGTTTCACCAATTCATCCAGTAACCATACACCAGATCAGGCCTGCCAGCTACTCATTGGGACTTCTCATTGAGCTATATTCAAACAGAGTGTGTACAAGAGCCATTCACAGTAGCTTTGCAGGCTTCTATGGAGCCAAATCTTTATGTGAGACCTAGAACTGCTCGCCCTCCCAGTTTCCTCCCCATTTCAGGTTCTGGGAAATGGAAAGAGTTATATCCCCTTTATTTGCATGATTCTTCTGGTATTAGTTACCAGGGAGGTTATCACCTAAAAGTAGAAGGTAAGTGCAGACCAGTCAGAGCTCCTGAAAATTACTGTGTACAAGTAGGTTAAAATAAAGTCAAATCTAAGGCATGTACCACTATAGTTGGTCCTTTTCATTACAGATTGAAACAACAAAATTAAAAATAAGCAGCTGAAGTATAGGAACCCTGATGGCAGTCTATGGGCTGAATTAATGGCCGTCATCCAATAATTGGTCCAGTAGCTATACAGCATTAATATTAGAATTTACTGATTCACGCACAAAACTCTACAAGAGAAAAAAGGAAGTACAGCTGTATGCAGACGGCTTATCAAAAAGAGCACCTGAAGAAACCAATTATTGGTCTGAACCCCATCTGAATTAATTATGCAGCTTTATTAGGTGTAGAGTTCAACATATGATCTTCCAATGTGTAGTTGTGCACAGAGCTGTCTCCCTAACAAACCTCAAAGCCTGAAACATTAAGAACTCCAGGATGCTATCAGAGCTACAATCCTGACACTTCCTCCACTCCACTGGATTTTAGAAGTACCAAATAAAATCAAGGATCTGTACATATGGGAGGTATTATAATAGGCCTAATCCTACAATATGATCTGCTAATGCAGACTCATTCTTGCTCAACTCCTGTCAACCTTAGCAGAACACTGAACTGTTAAGACAGTACTAACAAAACTCATTCCAAGACTGAGGCATCACCGAGTGAAGTGTCAAAAACTGTATTTACTCCTATCCAAAACAGAGGTCTCCCCTTATCTATTCAACATGGTTAAAAAAAAGCCCCCACTCCCCACCCTGTCTTAGATTTGAGTACAAGGGAAGGGAGGGGGCAGGAGCATCTGCAGCTCCAACTCCAAACCTCACTCTGAGCCTTTCCTCTCCCCCAGTACCACCCCTGCTTACAGCTCTGGCCGGGACATGGCTCT